AAAAAAAAAAAAAAAAAAAAAAAAAATTCCATGGTTACTGTAATCTGCATATGTGATCATAACTATTAATAAAGTTTAAATAATAGGGTGGGTTCTTATTTACTTCAAAGGCTATGGAATTAGTCCAAGTGCTAATGAACTAAATATCAAAGAAAACGAATCTAACATTTTGTGATGTGCATAAATTTTAGAATATAAGTGTGGTTCCCTATTTAACCTCCTTGTTTATGTTTTGCCTTTGAGAAGTAATCTTGTTGAGCTGCATCTTGTGTGGCATCGCACTGTTCAGATGACAGGCACCTCACTGACACCAGCTGGAGGTGCAACAGCACAGCCCTCGCAGGGCCACAGACACCGATTTCCCAATGCCCACAGATGAGAAGACCTTTCAGGAGCCCAGGAGACCAGCAAAGAGTTTCCAGCACCCTGGTAGAACAAGAGTTTCACTTCACATCACCTCCTAGCAGCCTGGCTAGGGTAAGGAGAGGCCCTGGCACGGGAGTGCCAGCCTCCCGTGATACTATCCGAGGACACATCCTGTCACATAGATACCAAGGGCATCTTCAGTGCGGCTGGTCTGGGGGAGCAGGGCCAGAGGCTGGCTGCAAAGTGCTCACCATGGGCCACAGGTCCTACCAGGCTTCAGACTCCATCAGGAGCTCCCAGGCCACTTAGTGCTCCTGTCCCAGAGCCATTTCCCCTCAGGTGGCATGTGCAGTCCCTGAAGACAGCACAAGGGTGTCACCAGCTGCCCTACTGCCAGTTGGACATGGGCCCATGACCTTGAATGCTGTGGGCCACTGGCCTAGGGAAAGTAGGCTGGGCCTTTAATGTCTGGCCAAGCTCTGTGGGAGTGGGAGGAGGCAGCCTGTCCCAGTGTCCCACTGAGAAGGGATGGGGGGAAGCAGGCACACCCGTGGCAAAGGTCCTAGAGACCCTAGAGACAGGCTGACCAGTGCCGGAAGCCTTTCCTCTCCTTCAGCCAGACTAAACCAGAGACAGGGAGGCACCAGCCTTGATCTTTCCCAACCTTGGGAACCGATCAGACTACCTCAGAAGCCACAGTAATCCCTTCTGAGGGCAACACCTGCGTAACCCCACCCCGCCCACCAGGTGTGGCCTCTGAACGTGGCCACACTGCAGGCCCATGGGGGGCACACACCTCCAAGCACAGCACCAGCCAGAGCAAGGGGTGGGTGGAGTGACCATGTATGTGAGGGTTGGGGAGCCACCTGGCCATTCCTGTGGTCATAGAGACACAGACAGACAGGTATTTTCCCCAGTTCAAGGCCACCTTGGGCAGTTTAGGGAAAACCTGTGGCAAAATAAAAAGGTCTTGGGGTTGCAACTCAGTGATAGCGCACATGCCTAACAGGTGCCAGGTTCTGGGTTCATTCGCCAGTACTGACTGCAAAGGAAAGAAGG